ATGATGTCTTTTGCCCTTATTCAAGTTTTGGGTTTGATGTATAGTTCAAATTCCTCATTTACTGTCTTTCACAAGGTGACTCAGATAAAGCTTACCAGGCTGTTATAAGGCTATTTTTGTCAAATGAAGATGAAATACATCCAACGACGTAAGGTAACACCAACTCCTTCGTCAAGCCCCAACACCTATCTATTAAAAAAAACTTCTATTTTTCCATTTGCTACTTTCTTGTGTTATTAATTTTAGTTGTGTGATTTGTTTATGTGATGTTTGTTATAACAATTTCGCAGATTTTTTTTTTAAAAAAAATCACGTCCTTGATTGAACTATTATGTGGGTGTTTGGTAAAATGCTTGAATGGTATTTCAAATATGCACCAGCTTTTGTTCCAACATCCTTACGTAATTTCCTTATGAAATGCACTAGGTTTATAGTTATCAACTTAAGTTTGAATTTGTTTTCGCTATTGACATAGCTGTGAAAATTTGTCCACTTTTGTTGATTATAATAGGTAATGGAATTCCTAAGCCATGTCAACAATAGACTGAAACAACAACAAATTAATAGGTTTTCCTTTGGAAGTGTTAATGAGGTTGCTGCTTCAGCACCAATCGAAATAACATGAGCCGTTTGCATCTGGTCAAGCTCTGGTATCACAATCCACATAATCGAAAGTTAGTTACCATTTCTTGCATTTAGCTGCTTTATTTGTGCAAACACCTAATAAACTTGATATTTGAGTGAGTGCGGTGTTTCATGACTTTGTGGAGCTAGTGAAAGGAGAAAAGGAGAGTGCATGAGTTATAATATATGCAAATCTTGATAAAGAGTAGTAGAAGACTTTTATTTAATGCTACTCCATCAATGATTGAGATTCCGATGTTTTTTTATAAGATTTCATCAACTATTTAGGGCAATGTACCACAGTTGTACAATTTGCTCCGAGGTAAAATTATGCAACCAATTTTTTCAATTCAGAAACTTTTTCTTGATTTTGAGAGTGAAAAGTTTTGAATTGTATTTTTATTTGCAGCTTTTATTTGATGTATTGAAGGATCTTACAATTTTACCATATGAACATACAATGTATTTAGATTGTGCTGAAGAAATGGAACAATGTCAGCACCATTCTTGTCATGTTTGGTCAATGGGTTTGGAAAGACTCGTAATGAAGAAGTCCAGACCATCAATCATAAATTCTATCAAGATTCAACTTAAATATAGATGTGATCGAGACGTATGTATTCTGGAATGGTCATCAACCCTAACCGGGCAAGTTAGTGTCATATTTTGCAAATGGGTTTGCATTTGACTTTTCAAAACAATCAACAAAGCAGTTCATATTAAATACGCTTTGTTTTGATTTTTGGATTTGTTGTTTGTTTTATGATTTGTTTTGCGGTGGCAATCGAATGAGAAGAAGAGTTTCCGAATATATATTAATTACTTTGAGATGACACATCACGGTCAATGCATACCAATTAGTGAACATACGTATGCTTTAAGCGTAAATATTTAAACCGTCTAACCCCCGCGTAGCGGGGGACACCACTCTAGTTAAAATTAAATTACTAATAATAATAGGTATATCCGATCGCAATCCGATAAGTTTCTCAATCATTGGATCCATTCGGTTTTAATGGTTCGGTTTCAATTGTGAAAACCGAATCAAAATCAAAATTTTCGATTTTAAAAGTCCAAACCCAAAACGGACGGTTTGGGTTCGATTTCGGTTTTATCCGTTTTTTGGTTTCGGTTTCGGTTTTGTTTAGCCCTAAGTGTGTCTTCAGTTGAGCAAAATGAAGGAGACGGTGGTTTGTCGGAGTCAGGTTGGACATAATATTAAGCTTAAGTGTTGAGACACAAACTGAGATGTTTCAAGGCCTATCTAATAAAAATTTGATTAATCATAATTAATAACGGTAAGTTGGTAACGATATTGATGTGGCCACGATCTCGGGGAAGTCCTCAACGGATTGCGACTACAGCGGTGACCTGGTATCACACATAGAAAGGGAAAATGTCAGCCGTTTTTCTGGAGGGGGTCTCGTAAAAACGCTATGACGATCAAGTTAGTGACGTGAGAGAAAATGTTGTATTGAGAATAATGGTAAGAGAATGTGTGCCTTACCGATTCATGATGGTGGCCTTTTATAGTAAGTCCCTGTGGTTGATCTCGTACGAGAGATAAGAACGTAGATTCGACAAGGTGTCAATGGTTAGAGACGATCGTGTTTTCTCTTGATTGGATGATCGTGTTTTCTCTTAGTCAGAGCTTGTAATTAATCAGACGATAAGACGATAATTTTTCTTAGTCAGAGCTTGTAATTAATCAGACGATAAGACGATAATGCTCTGAGCATTACCTTTGTCGCTTGGAGGCGTTGCCTTTTGAAGCAAGGCGATAATGTCCATTGGGGGAGTCAACTCATGCAGGCTCGCTAGCGCGGAGCGAATACTTACTAACGTAGAGCTCAGCTGCTAATTCGCAAATAATGTCGAATTAGACATATCATGTGTCTGTGAATTGTGGAGTTTTCAAAAACTCAGCAAAAGTCTTTTAAGTTACATAGGATAAAGATAAGGATATAAAGATATATTTGAAAAACGATAAAACTTTTTGAGCTTATGAATAAGCTTAATTTTAATAAGTTAAAAAAAATAAATAAATAATAAAAAATAAAACCAAAAACTAGTTTATAAGTTATCTTAAACGTTACATTGCAATAAGCCAATTAAAAAAAATTATCAACATAAAAAACAACTTTAATTAATCTTTAGACTTGCTTTGTATATTTTTTTTTTCGATTTCACACTCCAATAAACAACAAGCATATCATAGTTAACATCTTAAATCAAAAGTAAAACTAAATGAATAAGGTTTACGACTTGTTTTCATTGTCAAGAAATGATGTATGGCCATAAATTGTTTTTTTTTTTATTTTGCCGAATAAAACATCTAAATAACAATAATTGATCATTTGGATACTTGATAAAGGAAAGATAGTTTTTTATATATATAACTAGGTGTAAGACCCATGTATTACATGCAAGGTTCTAAAAAGCTCGTCATGGCTCCGCCATTGCGCGCCATGGCTCCAAGGCTTCCACGTGCCGCCAAGCTTTACCAAAATGTCGCCTTAACTCATATATGTGTATAAAAATGAAAAATAGTTGAAAATACATATAAAAATATTAATTATATACAAAATTGCCGCCTTAAGTCACGCCTTACAAACGACGTGGCTCGCTAAGGCTTGGAAAAGCTTGAGGCTTGACATTACCGCCAAGTCACGCCTTACGTTATTTAGAACCTTGATTACATGGGTTAATTAAAAAAAATTAAATATAAATTTAAATATTTAAAAACTTTGGATTTATAAGAAAATAAGAAAAATAATGAATTATTAAAATTGTTTTTTTTTATCTTTCAAATTTAAATAAATAAACTAATGAGCTTTAATTTGGAAATTTTGAAATAAGAAGGTAACTCCATTAATGAAATTGATATTCATTTATTACTATATTTATTGTAATTATTACATTAAAGTATTATGTGAAATTTATTAAAACAGAAAAACTCATAAAATGACATATGGAAAAAAAAAATTAATTCAAAATAACCATAAAATGACATTTGTCAAATTAAATGAGAGTGTGACATGTGGCACAAAACATTCTTTTATTAGAGTAGATCCGTATAAATGTGAATTCTAATTGAAAAAGTAATTAAAGTGAAAATAAAGTTACATTATATGCGGTGCGCCTCTTACCGCATACCACGGTATATTGCGGTATACGGTAAACACCGCACCGAGAGGCAAAAAAAGAAATGCGGTAAAGGTGGTGTGTGGTATGGATTTGCCGCAAGGGAAACGGTATACATTCCTTCACATGTTGTACTTCATGCATAAAAATATGTATTGTGATGAATGTGATATGACACCCACCAGCATCATCTTTATCATATAGTCATACATTATGTTACTGGACAGATCAGATCACTTGCATGTTAACATGCCTAACTACGAAAATCTGAAGAAAAAAAATGTATTTCTAACTATTGTATTTGAAAATTTTCACAACAAATCCTTATTCCTTCAGATTTGTCGTTTTGATGATTCAAGTCCCACACCCATATCGTTATCCATGTCCTCTATTATAAAGACATAAAACGAACAAGTTATAAATATTCTACATTTTTATAATCTAAAACATAAAAAAAACAAGTTATAAAATCTTTACCATTCGGGAAATCGGTGATGAAAAAACTTGTCCCGATAACTACGTAGCACAACAACAGAACTACCCCCTTAAGGTAGTGAGAAGTCCCATCCTGAAAAAAGAATATAGAACTTTTTTTATAACATTATTGATGTGTAATTGGTTAAAGAGATTTTGGGCTTGATACACAAATTAAATAATTCTCTTGTTTAAAAAAGTAAATTTAAAAGAAATACCTGCAGCGTGAAGGCAGTGACCAAAATTGCTAGAGAAAGTGATCCGGTTTGAAGAAGACTGAAATCAAGATCCATGTTGACACCGATTATCCATGCAACAATTACACTCAGTGGGACCTAAATTACATGTACACATTATAATTAGAATTGTATTTCCAAAAAAAAAAAAACAATATCAAATATTCAGTGACAGTGACAGTGACAGTGACAGTGACTTACCACAAAAACAGCGATTTGAGTTGCAGAACCAAGTGCCACGCCCAAAGTTATATCCTGTATTGATAACATTTAATTTTATAAAATCTTATTATAGCATCCTATTTTCAAACTACAATGACTAAATAAGAAAAAAAATGAACCTACGAGCTTGTTCTTCAAAGCAAAGATGACAGCTCCAGCATGCTCAGCTGCATTTCCCACAATTGGTAGCAAAATGATGCTAGTGAAGCTCAATGGCATTCCCCATGAATTTGATGCCGCCTATTTAACAATTTTAATCCAAATTATTTACACAATTTTTTTTTAAATCAATGGGACCTACAAAATTAATACCTCAATAGTGTCAACTAAATATTCAGACAACAATGCGATAATGGCCGTCATTCCAATTAGCCAAAATATGCCACTCCAAAGGCCAATCACCTTGTCATCCTTGGCCTCATCCTGTATGGGGAAATGACCATTTTACCCGTTGTTCTGAAAGTTATATTGAATAACAAATAACGAATTACTGTTGATTTGAGAAGTGTTTAATTAATCTTACCTCCTGTGGTTCAAAGATATGGTTGTGAGTCCATAGTTGAAAGGAAAGGTAAGCAAAGTAAGCAAGGAGCATGATAATGCTAGTGGCTCTTGACAAATTTAATGTTGCTTTTGTCACAGTTACCAAATCAACAGGTGAAACAGCATGTTTATATAGCAAGGGCATTGCATTGCAAAGTAAAGCTAGAAGTAGTAGAGATATATTCACATCTGATTGTTTCTGTTTCATCAACACATAGAATACGTTTTCAGTTAGCAATGAATGTACTTTTATTCATTTGATTATTATATCATCATACTTATATTTTCAAAAATACAATACCTTTAATAAGAGAAAAAAAATCAATGAACAATGATATGACAGAAAAAAAAAAAAAAAAAAAAAAAAAAAAAAAAAAACTCAATTTGAACAATAATAGAGTTATAGAGTCACGCCAAACGAGCGCTTGAAATTGTTAACGAACCTTAAAACTTTTTGTTTGGACTTTGCGAACATAAGTGGCGTGGTTAAATATCAAGTGTGTCGTCAAAACATTAGGAAAAAAAAATGATTTCCTCGAATTACCAAAATTTAATAATAATAAAAAAGATATCTTTATCAGGTAAAAAGCATCCTAACAAATTAAATATTTTAAAAGATTTATACTTTAAATAAACCCTTTCACCTGAGTTAGATCTAAAAAAAATACTTTTGTTGGTGGGATTCAACCCCACTAACCTATAATAGATTTCAGCATGCTGAATGTCCACTATACGTATCTTTTATGGTGGTCCAAAAATGATATCCATACCCATCTCAAACACA